ACGGTTGTGATTGTGGCTGACTTGGATTCGGATACAATAATGTGGTGCGGGTCAAGATGTTTTCTGGGGGAACCAATTTACCCGTAAAAAAATCAGACATCTGTCCCTTACGAAACTTAGCACAAATCCTTTACTTTAGAAGTTCTAGACAGGTTGGTAATAAACAAAGCCATACACATTGCAAAACCATAATGGAGTTCTCTGGTAAAGGCTTGCCTGAGTCTCCCTTTGCACAAGTCAATTTGTCAGGAGGCAACCCTCTCCTATGCTTAATCTCACTGAATCAACATCTTTCATTGTTAATTTGTCATCATGTCATTTGTTCTTTTAGAATCCAGATTAATTTCTTCCTCACAGAATTGGTCATCACACCCACTTCACAGCATTTGATGCGGCTGTATTAGCTATGAGATGGGCATAAGGACCAATTCTATAAGGAGAAAATCCAAATTCATTCTTCTAATAGACATAAGGATCCACTGCCAACAAGCTGTTCCCATATTCCTACCCCTCAAGACATTACAGTCATGTATTGAAAATATTTTTCTTGTTGTTCATGTGGAGATGTTCCCAAATCCCAATATTATGTGAGTAGAGAGATGTGGGTAGGAAATTTGGAGTGCTTTTGAAATCCATCTTAGGTGTGGGAGGTACTTGTTAAAAGATGGTAATGCAGTAGTACCAAAAAGAATGTTTTTGATTAAAGTGGTAGAACCTCCTTTTTAATAAAAATGAATTTAAACACTGTAATCAACATGTCAGCGAGTACATAACAAAAACAATAGCAAAATCCAGCACGGAACTTTGAAAAAGTCTTTTCTGGTGTTCTGTTCGGCTCCACAATCAACTGCTAATAGCATCGAAGACCAAAAACAAAGCAAAAGGGGCGTTTCATAGGCTTACTTTTTCCTTTTGTTCTGCTTTAATTGTCGTTGAAGAATGAGAACTTATTCCTCACTACTCATTCTTATTTAGTTAATCAACATTGATTTACATGGGTTAGAGGAGAATATTCTCACATTTTCTCGGAAGGCTTATTTATTTGCTTAAAACGTAAAGAATGTTAGGGCCCGGCACGAGAGCCGGTGCTTATCAATTGCTTACTTGCTGTGTAAAAAGGAGGCTTAAAATGCTATTAGAACTTTAGAAGGTAGCCGTGTACAGTGCCTATTATCTGGCAAGTGTATGTTTATGGATGCTAAAAAGTGACCCATTAAGCATTATTAAATAAAAAAGCAAATGCCTACATGGATAATTTTGTTAAAGCTCTGTTTGGGAAGCGTAGTCGATGAATCATGATGAAAAGAGGGTATTCACTAAAATGCAAGATTTCATATGGTTTTGGTCCCAAATATGTGGATTGTGAGTGGTGTAGTAAGGCTGAACGTAGTGGTCTCCTTAAAGGACGATGGAAGGCTGGGAGTAATGATATGCTATGAGCTTCTATTGACATAGTTGTGTTTTTGTTATAATTCATGCTTCCTTTTATAGGGAGAGATCCTGAGGTCCTAAACAAAAGGAGCCAAAAGGATTTGATCACCATGGTTGAATCAACATACCTCACCTCCAATACAGAAACCCTTCCAAATGGTCTCTTAAATTAGTGATGAGGGGAAGGATGTGTTAACTCAGCTCCATTGCCCGGCAGCCGGGGGTATAGCCATGTAGGAAGGTTGGTTCTTTCCCTTATCTTTGATAGACAATTATTTAAATCTATATCTATATACTATTATAAAAAGTATGAATGAGGGTGTGAAATTTTTATTGACTAAAATGCCCTCATTTGTTATTTAGTCTATCTCTAATTATGAATGTCGAAAATATAATTTCAATTAATGCTTTTCACCTCATTTAATCCCCTCTCATTAACTCTTGTATTTATGGTATTAACTCACATTCTCTCTTATTAAATCTCATGTTTGAGTTAATTTTTTACTAATAAATGCTATTAATTAGATCTATGTCCAATACTTTTAAAAATATAAATCCATATATTTTAAAACTTACCAAAAAATAAAATCATTCTTTATCTAAGTGATGACTAAGCAATTCAACTATCCAAATAAAATTGGCCAACCAGTGAAGTCATGGTTAGAAAATAAAATTTTTAAATAGAAATAAATATAAAAAAAGAACACATTTATGATATTTTTTATTAATCAAATTAAAAAACAAGTGTAATAAACAAGATTTATTTTTATTGATGATGAAGATGAAATACATAATCTAAAACTAACAAAAAATGAAATTATTTTTTTATTTGGTAGATATCAATAGTTCAACTTTTGGGTCAAATCTTTCAACCTTGAATGTCATAATTAAATAATAAATATTAATAAAATATGAAAAACAAACAAAAATAAAAATACATAAATTTTACAAAAAACATTTGGGCACATGTATAATATCATATATTTAACATATTAAACAAAAAATAAGTATAAATAATAGTATTATTTTTACACACATGGAAATAAAAAGATTTATAAAAAAAAATGAATGCATCCATAACTCCATATTTACACTATTATTATAAATATGAATAAAATTGTGAAACTTTCTTTTGACTAAAACATCCATTTTTTTAATTTAATCCCTATTTAATTATGAGGTTTAAAAAATAGTTTGAACTATAATTTTCACCTCATTCAATTCCTCCTCTTTAAATCTTACATTTTTTTTTGATAAATAAACAAAAAAAAGTATACACTAAGAAGATAAAGAGTCCAACCAAATAGGTAGGCCTGCCAGTGATACCCAAAACTTTGTAGCCCAATATGGGGTGCTTACGTAATCAAATCTAGATTGTATAGTATGCATCCGATTAATAGCGAAAAACAAAAAATATAAAAAATATATGATTTTTATAGAAAAATTTTGGATACATTATTCCTATCATTATCATTTTTTAGAATTGCCACGTGTAAAGCATGTACACGCTTACTAGTGCTTAGAAAAGAAAGAAAGAAAGATAGACAGATAGACAAGCAAATCTCCAAACTAACAAGTAACAACCAGTCTGATTGGCTAGGTTGGGTGACACAAAAATATTCTTTCACCCACTCAGCCCGTAAGGTGGAGTACTAACACATTTCGATCATATTCACCAAGGTTTTAAGGCCCCATTTGGTTCACAGGATTAGGGGTCTAGAATCAGAATGGGAATGGGCTATTCTGATTCCAATTGTTTGGTTGGGTGGAATCAGAGTCACATTCTCATTCCTGCTGGAATGGCATTCCCCCATTTGAGGGAATGGTCATTCCCTGCCCCTCCCTTGTGAATGAAATTTCGTTCCTGATGATTCTAATTTATTTTCCCATTCTTGTCTGAACCAAACAGACTATAGGAATAGACAATTCCAATTCCAATTATGGGGACCAGCTCCCGGGTCAAATGGCCTGACCATTTGGTTTGAATGGATGGGCAGATCGGATTTAGAAATATAAAAATTTAAAATAAAAAGGCCAAACAATGTTGTTTGGATCAATGGAACCAATTGCTTGACCATTTTCTAGGTTAACCGGTCCGGTCTGGTCCTGTTTTCAAAACCACGATATCCACTGAAAGTCTGAAACAATCCAGTGGTTCATAATGTGTCAATGCTGCAAAGGCCCCACTGTAATTTGTTGCCCTACTTAACCATGAAATGTGACTTTGTATACCATATAAATAACAGTGGGTAAGGTTGCTAACTTTGTATTGAGGAAGACTTCCTTCTAACTATTGATTCTATCACAGCAAAGCAAACTCCTCATTGACCACGGAAAATATCATCAAAGATATAAGAAGAAAATGAGAGGAAAGTAGAAAATTCATTCATTGGGTTCATATACTCTGATAAACAAACTAGGTGGGCAGGGGCGGAGCCAGGAAATTTTTATATGGAGAGCCAAAACCTAAATAAAATATAGATGGACCCATAAGGGGCCAACCATTGATTATTGAGATGAACAGTGAGGGGAGGGGAAATTTTACATAAAAAAAAAAACTGTATTACTATGAAGATTTTCTGAACCATAGGGGAGGGGGGGGCATGGCTCCCCTGGGTCCTCCCTGGCTCTGCCCCTATAGGTGGGGACCGAGGCCACTTCAGTGTTGGCACCTTGGAGAATATCTCTGATGATCATCACTAAGAAATTTGTAGAATTACTCTTGAAGACATTTGGGCCATGTTTGGTTTGAAGGAAAATATAGGGAAAGGTAGAGAAACCTTTACAAACTTTGTATTAGTTTCCCTATCTTTCCCTTCTTTTCCTTCAAACCAAACATAATCTTGGAGTTCGTGACTCTTGCCTGGCCCAGCCCAGAAATTTCAGTTTTGGGTTAGGTTTTGTATTTAGCCCTCACCCAGCCCCGGGCCCGTAGTATTTATACTTAATTCATAGATATGTATTTTATGTGGTATCTTATATTTTTATACACAAAAACTATAAACCCGAAACCTGAACAGGACGATCCTCGGCCAGAGCTATAGCGCTTCTCAAAGGTGGAAACCCGGCCCAGCCCATGAGCACCCCCTGATTCCAGATTCCCTCAATCAAATTGGGCTGAATATAGACACGAGATCCGTAATCAATCATCATTCATTAGACCCGGATGCAGCAATGATGGGCATTTTAGTCAAACAAAGATTTTGATGGCACCATTCATTTTTCGGAATAGGCATGGGCAAACGTATACCAAAATACTGCTGATGTCGCCACTCGCCAATCAAAGACAAGAAACTGGAAAGGACACCACAACGCTAGCTCAGACCGACAGCACATCAATAAAAAAGAGAACAAACGATTGGGACCCGAGTCTCTCTCTACCAACCAGGCTGGGTTAAGCTTTTGATCCTGATCAGTGCACATGAGTTTAGACCGTTTAGAACACACCAGGCCAGGCTGCTCGTCTCCCTAGAACACAACCCCAGTAGGCCAGTACACTACTACGCTGTTGAGTATTGACAAAATAGAATAAAAAATAAAAAGCTCTCAGTAGCAGACACCCACCACAAACCCCACTGCCTACACAACTCTACATCATCCTCCTATTATTGTCTAGAAATCTCCATTCCCCACAAGCCCATTAAGTTTTTCTCTCTCTATCTCTCTCTCTAAGCATTCCTCTTTTTCTGCTGCTCCTATCTTGATTTCTAATTTTCAACCAGCATTCTTCAGTCGCCATTAATTCCTCCTGTCTCAGTTTTATCTTGCCATCCTTGTTGCAATCATGGCTGTTCTAGTGGTTCTCGTGCTTATATTGGCTATGACTGGTCACTCTGGTGAGCTATATGATCTTCCTTATTTTTCTTTTCCTTCGGCATCTCATCTGTTATCTATGTTTATGATGCAAGGGGTCTAAGTCGAGATTTTTTTTTTACTTTTAATCTGTGACTCAGTGCAATGCAAAGAGTCTAAGACTGCCAGATTTTCTTACTTATCCATTTTCTGTGTTTTTTTTTTTCTAGACTTTGAATCCTTCTTTCTTTTCTCCTAAAGAAAATTTGGGTTCTTCCCTTCTTTTCCTCCATTATCGTCATTATTATTTTATTTTTTGCTTCCTCTGGTACTGCTGCCGCTGCTTTAAAAACTTGGGGTTTCAGCAATACTGAACTTCTAATCCCACCTCCAAATTAGATGTGCCCTTTCTTTCCCACTCCTTTTTTTTTCTTGAGTTATTTTTGGGATGTGTAAGATTTTACATGATCTCAGAAAGGTTGCTTTCCTTGTTGTGTACATGAGTCTGAATTATGTTAATTTTTTTCCCGTGGAATTTTGGCAGCTGCAAATTGGTGTGTCTGCAGGACGGATGTGAGTGACACAACCCTTCAGAAGACCCTAGATTATGCTTGTGGATCTGGAGCTGATTGCACTCCCGTCCTTCAAAATGGGGCTTGTTACCAGCCCAACACTGTCAGGGCTCATTGCTCATATGCTGTGAATAGCTATTTCCAGAGAAAAAATCAAGCTCAAGGATCTTGTGACTTTTCAGGCACAGCCACAGTTTCTACAACTGACCCAAGTAAGGCCTCCTACTTTAATAGTTTAAAAATAAAATAAAATGATCAAATTGTTAACATTTTTTGTGCTTCTTTGTTTCCTGGGTGATTTCAGGCACCGGTAATGGTTGTGTTTATCCCGCAACTCCAAGGTATTTAGCGCTCTCTTTCTCTCTCTCCCAATTGATTTTTTTTTCTCTGGTAGGTTGAAAATGAGATTGGTGTGACATTGATTTCTCACCTGTAAATTGTTGACATTTTATTATTGGTTGCAATTATTTCTTGGACTTGAGTGTAATGATAGTGCTATTTTTTTTTTTTTATTGGGCGTAGTTGTGGGATTTGGTTCATGCCCCGGAAAAACTAATTTTACAATGTTGAGAAATATTTCTTTATTTCTGCCGGAAAGCCTTTTTGATCATATGTAAAGCATAAACTTTTGTGACGCTATCTGTCTGCATCTATTTGCTTGCAAAATTTTACATCTTAGTAGAATCTGATGCTCTCCTTTCTCCTCTGGCATACCCACAAGAGAAACCCTTTCTGCAATTAATTTTCCAGGCTGACATCCCCACAAGAGAATCCCTTCACATATACTACAACCCTGACATGATTGCTTAGATTTGAAGGGGGTTTGTGCATGGAAAATAACTCGGGTTCACAACGTCAGATTTCAACTGGGTTATACAAGAAAATAGGCTAGATCACAGTATTAAGCTTGTTTGAGTTCTTTCTCAGTTCTCACTCATATTATGTACAATTTTCACAATGTTGACGTATTTTTTGTCTTTCAATTTGTTGCCGTGGATGCTTTTGTGTTTTTATAGTGTTACTATTTGCTCTGGATTTCTATCTCCTGAATTAAATCTTAACAGCATTTTTTTGTTCTTTCATCCTCAGTGTTGCAGGAACACCGTCTACAACACCCTCGACCACAACTCCGTCTACAACACCCTCGACCACAACTCCGTCTACAACACCATCAACCACAACTCCATCTACAACCACACCTTCTTCAACTCTGACTCCTACAACTGGAGTAATAGGAGGGGGGGTTACAGGTTTAGGCCCATCTGGAACTGGCATTACCGACACCAGTGACGCATCTGCTCTCAGTCTCATACTTCAAAAGAACTTCTTTTCCCTGCTTCCGGCCGTCGTCTGGGTTTCCGGCATGCTTTTCTTGTGGGCTTGAGGCAAGCGACGGCAGGAGAAGTGGTGGCTGCCGTGGGTGGTAGTGATAGGGTTTGGACTTGGGGGGCCACATATGAGACGGTGGAGCTTCAGTTGTGTGTGGACGAGATTTTGCCACGACCAGATGATAGACATGTGTGGTTCTTTGGATTGTCGAGAGGGGGAATCATCTAGGGTACATTTCCCACTAGCTTTTGTTTTTTCCTTGGTGGAAAAAGCTGGATTTTGGATTCCTTTTAGGTGATGATGGAACATAATTTAGTACTACCTTCCTCCTTTTCTCCTTTTGTATATGTAGAGAGACACAGTATTTTATATTATTATTATTATAAATTTAGTGAGAATTTGGTACTTAATCCTTCTTTCTAGTGAGAAAAAAAAAAGGCATTTCTTTTCTTGTGGGACAAAAATAGATGATCTGTGCAGCACAAAGGTAGATTTATCTGCTATTTTATGACCGCTGGATTGAATGCAAAGCGAGAACAATCAAGTAATTCTTATTCCTTCAACGGGCCCTTGTGCTCTTCATCCGATGAATTCATGAACCTGATTATATTCTCCCAATCCCAGTACTCAGATCAGTCCAACGCATTTGGTTCCCAAGAGTACATTATTGCAGTATAATATAGTCAATCCCCACAAGCGTATAGTTGGCCATTGATGTGGCATTCTAATCATCTACGTGGCTGTGGTTATATCGCAACCGAGGAATTGGGATCTCCTGCCATCAGAATATGTTCCAACACCCATGCAACAAGATCTGATATCGCACATTACTATGAAACTGGGACCCGGAATGAAAGTAGGTCCCCTTGGAATGAGGGAGGCCGTCGTTTCAGGTTGTCTTTTTAACTACGTAGGCAGATGCTCATTTATTGTTGATTGGTGCTTTGGTGTCCGTGGTGGACTGCGTTAATGATCTGATCATGTTCATTTATTTATTTATCACGATCAACGGTGCAGCCACGTGGTGCACATGTCTTGGCCATTTCGACGATTGGATCTATTTAAATATTGTCAATTTGTCGTCAAAAGGACTCGGGATCTCTGCCACAAGAATAAATGAGATTAGGAAGGTAAGCCTACTCCGTCTCGCCAGTCCCCACAACATACTATTCCGTCGTGTATTTCACTGCATAATACGAAAAGGATGAGATGTTCTCCATATGTTTTGAGATGTGCTTAGGCAGCGCAGCTCAGGCGTTTGTGTCTTTATACGAGGATATTTTTGCAATTACACCACCTAACATGGACACGTGCAAAAGAATCGTGATTCGTGAGAGAGCAGATCTCTCCATTTGTGGGAGAGTATTAAAGAAGAACTAACATCCTTAATTGTGACGATTCATTTGAGGCCGGATTTGTTGACAAAGTAGCTCACGTAGCGTGGATGCGGTGCAATGTGTTGAGAGTGCATGACCATAGTTGGTTTTAAATTTCAACCCTCCCTTTTCTGAATCGCGGCTAGTGTGGACTTTGGAAAATGTGAGCAGAAGATGGCAATAAAGAAAAAATAATTCACATATGCGACCTAGAACGCGCCCTACATGCAGAGTCCGGCTTCTATCAGATCAGGGCAAAAGCCCGTTCCAACAGTCCTTACAGCCTTGCCTTCGGAATATCTCTACTTATTGTGATTTCATGAGAGATATTTCAATGCAAGGTTGTAAGGTGCTGCTCGAACGGTGCGAACACTAAGTTGCCCTCACAGAAGCCAAACTCCTACCTGCATCTGACCGTGTATTAAAAACATCTCCCAAAATGTTTTTGATTTACGGTTTTAGATGTGCTGTGGGGTGCCAGTGGCGCCAATGTGATCTCAATAAAAAAGGTCAATAGATGTCCGCAATTGGCCCACGTTTTTTATTAATAAATTCAATGGTAAATGATGATTAACGGTAGGATTAGGTACGTCTTGATTCTTGGGTGCTTCAATTTTGATCCGTGACGCTAGCGCCCCGTGAAAAACCTGCTAATGATCGAAAGTGGAGAGAAATAGAGAACTGAAGAAAGAAAGCAAAACAGAGGAGAGCTTTCTTTAGGTTTTCTCAATCCTCATTTTTTCCATTGTTTTTTCCCTAATATTTTAAGAGAGAGGATAGTAGAGATGAAAAAGAAAATAGACCTATTTGGTTTGGTTTTCCTTTTCAACCTAGAAAATTATTTTATTTTCAATTTTTTCTCTCTATTTTATCCAGATGCGAATGTAATATAATCTAATATATATATATACTAAAGGAATGTCTTCAAATCATAGCCCCTACCATTTAGACACGTGGCAATTTTGATTTTCTAGAAAAAGCATCTCAGAAGTTGGTTATTCATATTTTCAAAGAGAAAACCCACTCCTTATATACATAAATTGCTTTTAACTACATTTAAAATTTTGAACTCAGACATGTGACACTCTAAGACAAGTGTTATACATTCAATAATAGTTCTTTAAAAATACATGAGAAGTGGGAAGCTCCCATTCTAATCCATTCCTAAAAAATGCAGGAAATGTAGTAGTTACCCAACCACTTCAGTACGCAATTTCAAAAGTAGTTTTATTTTAATTTCAAATATAAATATAATTATTATACAAATAGTGAAACTCAAATAAAATCTTCTAAAAAACTAAAATAAAATAATATTATTACAAGAAACAAAAAAAAAATTAAAAACCAAAATGATACATATGTTTGACTACCCCATAACTTAAGTCTCTTAAATCAAATAAAAATCTATCAAAACAACAAATGAAAAACCTAACCTAAATTTTAATATAAATGATTTTAAAAAATTTGAAATTTTAAAATAGTTCTTATTAGTGGCCCAGTACTGAGTACGGGGGTCATGCCTAGTTGGGAAAAGAAAGAAAGAAAAATAATTAACCAAAGTAGGCACAAGATTTAAATTATTGGCGTCACAATTGAGTGGGGAAACCAACATTTAATTGTGATATGCACATGTACAACTAAATATTAATTATATATATTATACATGATATTTGGGTCTAATTTTTATGACCTTCAAGGAACCCAATACAAGTATTTGCTTTATATATTATTGATGTAACCATTTCTGGTCACGTACCAATTTTTGTGATGTATAAATTTTTTTTGGCTAACTACCTCGTTATTTGACCTGGTGGTGAAGTGCCTTGGTGATGAGCTACTTGGTGGCGAACTCCCTGGTGGAGAACTACGTGGTGGCGAGCTCCCTGGTGGAGAGCTACTTGGTGACGAGCTACTTGATGGCGAACTCCCTGGTGGAGAACTGCCTGGTAGCGAGCTCCCTGGTGGAGAACTACTTGGTGGCGAACTCCCTAGTGGAGAACTACCTGGTGACGAGCTCCCTGGTGGCGAACTGCCCGGGGAAGAGCTATGCCGAGCTGGGGAGAGCTATGCCAAGCTCCCTGATGGCGAACTGCCTGGGGGAGAGCTATGCCAAGCTCCCTGATGGTGAGCTGCTTGGTGACGAGATCCCTAGCGGTGAGCTACCTGGTGACGAGCTCCCTGGTGGAGAGCTGCCCGGGGGAGAGCTATGCCAAGCTGCCCGAGCTATGCCGAGCTCCCTGATGGTGAGCTACCTTGGTGGACTCGTCATTTGACCTGCTCCTAGGCGGCCTGCAACTCAGAGGATGGTGGAGCTCCCTGGTGTAGTGCAACCCGACTGCCCTCTGCATGAGGTGATCTCTTCTCCTTTGTAGACGGCGGGAGCTGAGGGACCTGTGAGAACTGAATCAGAGGACCCGGGGGTGTTTACCCAACGGGGGCTCTCCGATGCCTAAATTAGCATTCTGATTACAGAGAGCTTGGAGAGAAATGAGAGAGCTAGAGAGCAGGGGTTACCATCCTTTTTCATCTCCCCCTTTGGCTTTGGGGGTCGGAGTCCTTATATAGTGGTGTCCTGGCGGGTTAGGTGGGTGAAAAGCCTTCAAACGGTAAGACTCGTCACATCCCGTCAGAACTGGGGTACGGTGGTGAACTCCTCGAGGTTGTCAGGCTCGCGCTTGTGTCAGGCGGCCAGGTCGGCGCCTGTGTCAGTTGGCGGGTCGGTGTCTGGGCCAAGTTGTCTGGCAGGAGATCTTCCTGCGATACGCCAAACTACTCTTTTGTACCGAGCTACCCTACAAGTGGCAGGCTGCCCGGGGGAGCTATGTCGAGCTCCTTGGGCTATGCCGAGCTGCTTGTGGCGAGCTCTGCCGAGCTGCCTGGCTCCTTGGTGGCGAGCTCCTTGGAGCTGCCTAGCTCCTTAGCGAGCTCTTTGGTGAGCTACCGAGCTCCTTGGCGAGCTCCTTGGTGTGCTACCGAGCTCCTTGGCGAGCTCCTTGGTGAGCTACCGAGCTCGTGGGGTATGCATGCCGTTATAGTCCATCGGTGGGCGTCTTATGGGTTGCCAGGTCGGCCAGGTCGCGCAGGCCGCACCAGGCAGTGCACAGGCCGCGTGCAGGCAGTGCGTAGGACGCATGCAAGCCGCGCGCTAGGCCTCGCCAGGCCGGCCAGGCCGGTGCCCCGGTGGGACACCAACTTGGTAAGTTGTTGCCTAGGTGTCACCTAGTTGTCACGAGGTGCCACGTGTCGCAATTTCACTGGAGGGCCAAATCTGCCCTCATCAATTATAAATATATTTAAATTGTAGATTAAAAAGAAATAAAAAGTTTAGAATTTCTTAAGACTTCGATAAAATCTTCAAGAAATAAGGACTTCCTCCCATTTTTTTCTTTCTCTCTTGTTTTTGGTAGATCAAATACAATATTTAAATATGCATGAATACAGTAGGGAAATCCACGCAACTATTACAAAATACATCAATAACATTCTACAGCTCAATTGGCTATAAACAAGGTAAAAATACACAAGAAACATACAAGTTAGTGTTGTGTTTGAAATGATAGAAAATAAGAGAGAAACAAAAAATTGAGAGAAATTTCTTTATTTATTTTGTATCAAAACAAACGCAATATTTTGCACATTAAAGAAATTGTAGTTTATATTTGAACCCCAAACATACTTGAATCAAAATTCACATGAAAACTATTATTTTTTTTTTGAAAGCCACATGAAAACTATTATAAAATAATATGCATAATGCCTCCAAAATTGATATACAACACAATAACAGTAAATCGACTTTATAAATTTATAATTTAGAATTTTAAACTAAGAATCGAAAAAGACTCACAAATCAAATGAACTGAGGCCCTCTTTGGTTCATGAGAATAGGGGTCTGGAATTGGAATCGGAATGGGCTATTTCGATTCCAATTTTGGATGGAATCGGAATCCCATTCCTGTTAATTCTAATTCCCACTCTCTGAACCAAACAGACTATATGGGAATGGACTATTCCAATTCCGATTTCGATTCCTATTTTGGCTGCAAACCAAACAAACCCTTAATTTGTAAGACATTTATTTATTACACATTTTTACAAGTATTAACATAATTTTTCGTTAGGCTTTAACTAATGAATTCAGGAAAATCCAAATTAGGTTTTGGTGGGGGGGATCAAAGGAATAGAAGAAAACACACTGGGTTAGGTGGGAGGTTCTCAACAAAAATAAATGTGCAGGAGGGTTGGGATTTAGAGACCCTTATAATTTTAATCTGGCATTGCTAGCAAAGCAATCTTGGAGATTATGTATTGAAGAAAATAATCTTTGGATTAAGAATATCAAAGCCAAATACATCAAGGGGAGAAATTTTATGATTACCAATCTGCCTGCTAGAGGTTCCTGGGGTTGGCAAAGTTTGGTAGTAGTTAGAGAGGTCATTCAGAAGGGGGCCTGTTGGGCTGTTAAGTCTAGTACAAAAGTTAGGATATGGAATGACCCTTGGTTAAAACAGGTCGAGTCATATAAAATTATAGGGCACAAAATGAATAATCCAGAGTTGACTTGGGTAAAGGATCTCATGATGGAGGAGGGTAGACATTGGAATACAAGTGGTAGAGGAAAATTTCGGGGAGGAAATTGCTAAAAATATTATGAGTATAAAACTTAGCTAAGGGAGATTGGGAGGATAAGCTGAGATGGACTTTTAATCCAAAAGGGTTTTACATAGTTAAAACTGGGTACTACCGAGTCTCACAAAATAGAAATCCAGCCGATGGGACATCAGCCACACTTAATGCAATAAATATGGGGAAGAAAACGTGGGTTGAAATCTGGAAAGCAAATATCGACCCAAAAATAAAAAACTTTATTTGGAAATGTTCTCAAAATGCCCTAGCAGTGAGAGAAAACCTTTATAGAAGAAAACTCTCGAATGATTGCATGTGTCCAATATGTAATCAACAGGTTGAAAATATAATGCACTATCTTTTTGAATGTGAACATGCAAAAATTGCCTGGTTTGGCTCTCACCTAAGTTTTATGGGTGTAAGAGGTGAGTCAAGCATATCCTTCAATTGTTGGTTAGCAACTTGGGTAGATTTATGCTTAACAGACAGAGACAGAAAAGATGAAATAATTGCTTTCTCATTTCTGTTATTATGGAATATCTGGAAAGCTAGGAACAGTAAAATATTTGAGAATACTAACCCAATTCCCAGAGTTACACTTGCAACTGCTTAAAGGATGTGGAGGGAGAGAGTGATGACTTCCAAAGTAGGATTGCAAGATTCTTCACCACAACATCCAAACATGAGTGATAGGAAATCTTCTTTTTGGATAGCACCAGAAACAGGGAGGCTCAAGATGAATGTCGATGAGAGTTTTTTGTGTCCTAGCAGTTCAGGTTTTGGTGCAGTTCTAAGGAATGATATTGGTACAGTTATAGCTGCAGTTTTTGGCAAATCAATAGCATCGTCTCCCATTCAAGCTGAAGCAATGGCGATCCTCAACAGTCTGGAGGTTTTGAGTATGTACAAGGAGGAAGATATAGAAGTGGAATCGGACTATCAAAATCTGGTGCAGGCTCTAAAGACGGGAAACTTAGACTTGGTCTCGAATGCAAACTTTCTATGCTTGGACATTAAGTTACTGACTGAAGATCTAGCAATTTCTTTTAATTATATAAATAGATCTTGTAATGTTGCTGCTCACATACTAGCCAAGAAAGGTTTAAAAGAGTCTAGGTTGTTTGTCCAAGATCCACCTAGGTGGATACAAGATCTGGCCAACCAATACTTAATTAGACCTTAACAGTGATTTTTTGTACTTTGTGGCTGTTTTCTTTTAATAAACTCATCTTGCTAGTTTTAACAAAAAAAACTAAATTTAGAAATGTATACAAATTTAACATAAAATTATATATTTATTGATATTGTGAACTTTGAGTTGCACGGCATCCGTTACACAGTAGAGGTGTCAGGTGTGGGATCAAATTTGCATATTTGCAAGTCCCGTTTGATATGGATAGTAGCCTTTATGGATATGGCTAGTAGGCTTTATGTGCGCCATGTCTGTCCCCACCCCATGTCCGAGGCTGGATCTGTTCCGAATAAAAACACTTTTAACATGATCCGGTATGAATTGGGATTTGCTTCTTATAAAATGCACCTCACAGCCCTATCCCAACGTGTATTGGAAGCATCTCATCAATAACAACACAAAATAGGGAAGATGTTCATTGTAAGGTTGATGTGTGAAGCAGATCTGAACTCACCTGACATTGCATATCTTGGACATGGTGAGTCAGTCTTGAGTTCGGATCAGCAGCAGCACACGGTATCAACAATGTCCCCCAACCAACCAGCCATCATTGCCGTGTGTTGGAATGCATATTTTTGGGAGCATATCCCAATTCCCCATATTCCTTCCAACTTCTGACCCACTAAACAGACTAGTCCGATACCGAAAGAAAGGCCTGAGCCATGAGGGAGTGCCTCACTTAAGAGTCTGGATCATGCTATACCAACCAACCTACTCTCACATGAAGGGATCTTCTGGCTGATCCAGACTGTCCAGTAGATAGGTTACCCATTGGATTGACCACGTGTTTATCTCACAGTACATAGAATCAGGATTTGCTTCTCATAGAGCACGCTTCATACCAACCTCACAAACATCCGACCATGTATTGGGAGGGAATATCTTTCTATGAATAAACTGAGATGTATTGTGAGGTTGGTGTGAAGAGTAAATCAAGACCCTAGTTCGTATCTGCTACATGGCTCATGTTTGAATTATATAACAAATGTTTATTGTTCAAAGTTTTAACATATAATAGGATAAATATATGAGCCTATTAGCTCCCCGCCTTACAGAGCATATTTCAGTGTCTATTGCATACTTGTCAAGGGGAGATACATATACCCCACAGCGCATCTCATCATGCATTGGAAACATCTCCCATAGTTGTTATGGGGAGATATTCCCAATGCACAATTAGGATATGCTGTGAGAAACATGTTGAGTGCAGTCCATAGGGAGTCAATGCGATCACTTATTTTACACATTAATGTATATGTTTGGTTCCGTTTATGTTTATTGAGTAAATGTTTATTGACGGTACCACATATGCGCCCCATAAGCAAATGCTTCATTAATTGCATTTGTGTGTACCGATCTGTACATCTCTCCCGTTTCAGAAAACTTCATTTTGGAACTTTCTAAAATGGGTAAGCGTTTATTGGCATTTTGCTGATGTGATGCCTAATGGCGCCTGTGTCATAAAAGCTCTTATTAAATATGTTTCTCGATTTTGCAGTCACACAAGTACAAAATGTTTAACGAATAAATGTAAACCAGACCAAACACCATGAATATGTTTCTACATAAACTTTTCCACGAATGAATTGATGACTCCCATTTCAGGAAGCTTCATTTTTTGAGCTTTCTGAAACGGGTAAGCGTTTATTGGCATTTTGCTGATGTGATGCCTAATGATGCCTATGTATCATAAACGCTCTTATTAAATGTGTTTCTCAGTTTTGCAATCACACAAGTACAAAATGTTAAATGAATAAACGTAAACCAGACCAAACACCATGAATATGTTTCTGGCATAAACTTTTCCACGAATTGAGGTTGGGGAGAGGAACCGAGTCTGACATTGGATCTACTGACCACAGCACATTGCTGGTCACATTCACTCACCCAGCCACACATTAAGAATATCGGCAATGAAAATTACAACCGATGTTCCTGATGTGCGGTTGGGTGAACGTCTCCAGCAATGTATTGTGGTCAGCAGATCCAAACTCAGTCTGACAATATTGGCCCAGCCAGGCAACTGAATTCTGCAGGGTGCGCACAGACACAGAACTACGAACACAGAACCGAAAAAACCATTTATAGACCATTATAACTCCATTAAAACCAGTTTGTGCATCCCATTTCACCAAGTTTAATTCTTGGTAGTAAAACATATTAATTTAAAAAGACTTCAAATCGATTAGCCACGAGAATCTCCACTGTCAGGAATAATTTGCAAGTCTAAGTGCATCTGACCATACCACATCCAATTTATGGTTTCTAGGAGCTCTGGTTAGACCATCTTTCATGAGAACATTGTAGATGTGCAATGAGATCCTTCGTTGCAGTTGAACCCACTAGAGCACGCTGTTGCCATGAAAAAGTTTTGGAATTTGACACCAAATATTCGCGATAGCCTCAGCAAGCTGTTGCCATTAAAACGTCAGATGACTCCAGTATTAAGCAATGGTATCACCAAAACAGTGGGGGCATTTCCAAACACAACTTACATAAGCCAGGTCCAATGAGCAGGCTTAACAATGACCGGCTTGAACAAAATCTACAATTAATTTGGCAACAGAGTTTGGCCTGTCCACATGAGGGAGATGACCACAATCCGATAGTTGATGGATAATTGCATTCGGAAGTTGATGATGTAGTCTCTGCAGATAACATAAAATTAATATCCCCTATCAGTTGTGTGTGTGAGACAGAGAGAGAGAGATATGCAATGGGACAATGTAGGGGGGAGCCTTTTTTCCCCCTACTTGTTGCTTTCAATGCAGAGACATGCAATGGAGCGTTCAAACTTTTTTTTTCACTCTTTTCTGGGTGTAGAGGGGGGTTGTGCTCAGGGGTGCAAGTCAGGTTGGCTTGAGTTAGCATTTTACACTGTTTCGGGCTTGGGGGTTGGGGCTGGGCCCATTCAAAGAGAGAGAAAGAGAGAGAGAGAGAGAGATGCAATGGGACAATGTAGGGGGGAGCCCTTTTTCCCCCTACTTGTTGCTTTCAATGCAGAGACATGCAATGGAGCGTTCAAGTCAGGTTGGCCTGAGTTAGCATTTTACACTGTTTCGGGCTTGGGGGTTGGGGCTGGGCCCATTCAAATTTTGACAAAATCCCAACCTGAGCCCGCCCATGCACCCCTAGTTGTGCTTTGGCAGACTTGACTAAAGACACCAGTTAACAATTGATGCACAACATGCCAATAAAGGAACTGACCACTGCAAACTCGCTGCTGAAAATCTTGTCATCCTCACCCCAGATGATAAGTGTCTTCTGATTTACCTGTATAACACCATTACCAAAGGAATAAAAGCAAAACACTAACCAGAGGAGATGGCCTGATTTACTTTAAAATCATCTTTTTGAAGATGGTTCAACCCCAAATAAGAACATAATTTCTTATCATCCCAACCAGTGTTGCATGGACTCTCTCCTAAATGGATGAAGTGCCATGTTGGACATGCATTAAACTCTGGTACTCCATGGATTGTTGAAGGACACTTTGATGTGACAATTTTCCTTTTCTCTTTGCTTATTTAACATAAATGAACAATTATAGTACACAATGAACGTCATTTTGCTATAGAATATTATCAAGTGATAAAAAAATTTTAGTTGTTCTTTCTGTAAGCTTATAATGTTAAAAATTCAATAAAACATGGGCTGAATATAAAAAAAAGGACTATTTTAATAGTTTACACTTTTCTATGGACATGCCTCCAGGTCCTTGTTTCTTCATCTGACTGAGTCAGATTCCTCAACGAGTGTCAGATTCTGATTCCTGTATCCATGTCCATGTAACACTGATTTTAACATATGCAGCAGACATCCATAAAATCCACCAAAGTTCACCTGGTTGCATCCAGCAGACATTCAAAGAACTCACACCAGAGAATTAGAGGTTTGGTGTCAACAATCAGGTCCATTTATAGCCAAGGAGATTTTCTAGGTGGGATAGGGAAAATAACTGTTTAGTGAGGCAGCACCGTGATCAGGTCTGGAGGTCTGTCTGGAATTCATTCCAGCCTCTTCTAAGCCAAAACGAGGTGTAAGACCAACATTTTGAGTGAGAAAATTTGATTCGGGCATTTCTAAATCTTATCTTTTAGTGAAAAACTTAAGCCCAGATGAGACCATGATTTTCCATAGGCAGCTGAAGATAGTTTTATACTGGTTGAGATAAAACAAGCCTAGCCCCTGTCATTGGCCAAGACAGTACAAGTTTATTGGACATGGCCAGCTTGTTTTCAGTGAAAAACTCAAACCAAATTCAACCTCTTGTCTTTCTGGAGGCTAGAGGCAGATAAAATATGGAAAAAGGCAGTGGCTCAGCATCTAATCAGGGTGCACCAGTCTATGTGATTCCCAGTGGATCAGCAAACCATCCACACCATCTAGGAAGAGATTATAGCTTCTTCTCTTTCTCCGATCAAGAAACAAGAGGTCTAGTTTTTTTCTTTTCTTTTTTATGTATTTCATAAGACACCTTCAAGTTTCTTTATTTCCACTCTCAAGTACTTCCTCTCTGATATCTCCAATTTGGCTAAAACTTCATTCCCTATAAATAGGATGCTAAAGCCATCAAGAGACGGCAGGAATGCATGTTCCATGAACCATCTTACTAGTCCAACCTAGGACCTCTTCAGCCAAAATTTCACCCAACATATGATGAGATTCAGAGCATGGTGACAGTGCAAGGAAAGACCAAAAATCTATAGGGGAGATGATCAAAATCATGTCAGATTAGCTATTCATGAATTATGATTTAGATTTCCTCAACGGCACATCAAGCATCCTCCTACACATGTGAAAGTACCATACAGGAGTGATGCAGGCGCTGAAGAGTCAAAATTGAAATTTTATGATATTGTATGTATTTCTGTATTTTTGAACAATAGGGGTATTTTTGTCATTTTTGCAATTTTCTGTGGGGTCAAATAATAGGGTTTGATTGTCTAGTTATAGTTTGCTTGTGTTTAAAATTTTAGAGTCATTGCATAAATAGGATTAAAGTTATTGAATCTTCTTTAAATTGAAATAGGATATGACAGATTAGTTTGAGTCCTACTAGGATTATTGAGTCTAACAGTTTGACTCCTAAGACGATTATGAGTCTAACAGTTTGACTCCTAGAATTATTACAAGTTATAGTCTATAAATATGTATGGACGTTTTACACAAAGGCAATGAAGTTTATTGAGTTTTCATCAACTTATGCTAGCTATGGTTAGAGGTGTAAATCGGGCCGAGTCGCTCGCAGCCCGGCCCGAATTTGGGCCGGCACGGCACGGAGGCACGTGGGCCGTGCGGGCTACGCTCGACCCACCTGATGAACTAGCCATTGGGGGTCCCCAACGGCTAGTTTCAGCTTTTTGGGGGTTTTTTACAAAAATACCCCCAACAGCTATAAATAAGGGTATTTATGTATTTTGGTTTTGGGGGGAGAAAGAATGAGACAGATGCCCCCCAACAGCTATATAATAGCTAGTTTAGGGGGCATTATGGGTAAAATGATAAATAACTTTACAATGACCAAAATACCCCTCCCAACAACTAAAAAATGACTAGTTTTTAGGGTATTTTAGGCAATTGAATTATTTTCAATTCCTATAAATAGCCCTATCCTCCACCATTCTCATCACACCAATTCAACAATTCTCTTAATCTCTTCTCTAGTTCTCATACTCTCTCAAGTCTCAATATCTCAACCTCTCATACATTCTCTGATTCTCCAATTCTCAACTTTATTGAACTTTCAACAAGAAGAAGACTTGCTCAACAGCTCAAGTATCTCAAGTTAGCAATTTATGAGGCTTGGATTCTTGGAGTTGAAAGGCTTCAACCGCATAGTTTTCAAGGCACCAAGGTGAGGCTAGGTGACAGGGGAGCGCCTACTCGCCTACTCGCCTAGGCGATGGATTTCTTTTATGTAGAAAACATAGATCCTAGGGTAGTTCCCTAGGTACCATAACCATATTTCCTTAATAATTATTCATAATTTTCATAAGAAAAGTATAGAGTTCATGTTAAAGTAAAGAAAATCAACATATTAATGAGAAGAAGAAAAAGAAGGAAAAGAACATTCAACAAAATATAAGGGTTGAACCCTTATTTTTGTTATAGGAAAAGAAGAAAAAAAGTAGTAGTAGAAAATGTGTTGATTAGACAAAATTTTAAGTTCTTCCTTACTTATTGGTTCAGGTTTTAAAGCCTTTGAGGGTTCAATACAGCATTTAGAAGTGCTTGTATTGATTAAACCCTAACAAATAAGAAAATAATAAAAAGAAATTAGTATATAAACACACAAAATGAATATTTTAGCTTAATAATGCCTATTTTATAATTATAATGTCAAAAAATAAAGAATAAAAAAGTACTTTATAATACATAGTACCAAACTGCTTGGTGATTAGGCGAGGCGAGCCTCAAAGGGCACTTTGTCGCCTAGGCATCACCTTGACAACTATGTTCAACTGTTGAAATCAAATTGGGATGCCGAACCGGCAATCCGGGTAAGTGTAAATAAATTAATTTTTATTTTTTTTAGAATTTAAAAAAAATGGTCGGCTTCTCCCAAAACCAATTCCCCAACATGTTCAATGCCGACGATATTCAATCGCAGCATGGTAGTGTTAGCACCGATATGGATGCTATTGACATTGACGGAACTTTCACCATTAATATTGGTACTAGGGGAAAGAAAAAGGCCTCTAAGTTGATTAGACCGGTTTGGAAAATATTAAAATTAGAGGAGGTTCAGGGGAAGGGAAAAAGAGTTGTTTGCCAAAAATGTAGGAAAGGGTTTAGCTATTGTAGAAAGGGTGGTATTGGCCATTTGAGCAGACATTTGCTCATCCATGAGAAACAACACAAACACAAACACAAATTGGGCGGGGGGGTTTGGTACTTTTAAATATTCTTAAGAAAAAAAGAGGCAAGAATTAGCAAAATACATTGTACATGTTGAACAACCATTTTTGTTAGCTAAAATACTAAACTTGAAAAATGGTTACGTAATTTTGTAAATCCACAATTTATATCAGATGTTTTAAAAATTTTTTATTCATATAAACAAAATTTAATTTATATGTTATCAAATCTTAATTCTAAAGTTGCAATTACTTTTGATATTTGGACTTCTAAATTTAACATAAGTTATATTTGTGTTACCGGTCATTTTATTGATGAAAATTGGCTTTTAAATAAAAGAATTTTAAGTTTTACTAGGCTTGAATGGCCACATACTGGCCCAACTATTGCTGCAAGTATTTTAAATACTTTACATGCTTATGGAATTGGCAATAAATTATTTTCTATTAGTTTTGATAATGCTAGTAATAATGATTCAGTAATAAATATTTTAAAATCTCAATTAAAATCATGTTTAAATGGTAAATTATTTCATATCAGATGTGCATGTCACATCATAAATTTATGTATTCGGGATGCGTTAAATATTATTTTTACTCATATTTCTAAAATTTGAAATTGTATTATATATATTAAAAGTTTTGTAGCAAGAAAACAATAACTTAAATATTTATGTCAAAATTATGGTTTAAAATATAAGCATTTTATATAAGATGTTAAACATAGATAGAATTCTACCTATGCTATGTTAGAAACTTGTACTTCTCACAAACAAATTCTTAGTGATTTTTATAATGCAAAAATGCCTACTAATATTATATTTGAGGAAGACTAGGAAATGGCAATTTGTATAAGAGATTTTTTTAAAACATTTTTATGGTGCAACTAATGAATTATCGGGTATTTATTATCCAAATAGTTGTAATTTAGCTTATCAATTAATGATGATCAATGATTGTTTTGCAAAATATAGAAAGAATCCACAATTTAAAAGTATTGTTGAAATAATGGAAAATAAATTTAAAAAAATATTGGGAGAACATTTCTCCTCTTTATTGCTTAGCTACAATATTAGATCCTATGATTAGGAAAGATGGTTTAGATATTTTACTTGAAACATATTGTGAAAATATGAATATTGAAATTTGAAATAAAAAAGAAAAATAATAGTTTATTATTTGAAATGTATAGTTTATATGAATCTGAAGTAACAGGGAATAATAAAAATTCTACAACTTGTACAGCTGCATCTTTCACTTCTGAACTTGAGTTCAGTTGTGGAAGAGAAAAACTTTTTTATTTAATAAGAGGCAGAAATCCACTGTTTCGGCAACAAGGTCATTTACTGAACTTAATTTTTATTTACAAGCAAAATTTTCTACTTTAGATGGTTCTTCCTTTATCGCGGAGGGAACAAATAATTTTCATATTTTAGCCTGGTGGACTGAACATGCAAAAAACTATCCAGTTCTTGCCGCCTTGGCACGTGATCTACTAACCCCTCTAGTGTCTATAATTCCATCGGAGTCTTATTTTAGTGCAGGTGCTAGGGTGTTGGACGACAAGAGAAGCTGTATGAATGATGAAAGTCTAGAGATGTGCATCTGCTTTAAAGATTGGATGGATGCTGAAAATAGATTACAAGACAAAGGAGGGCATGGCACTACACCTAATGTTTCACCTGAAGCAGATGATCAAAGTCAAGAACAATAGGAGAAAATGATGAAGTCAATATTTTTTGTATACTCAATAGTTGTATAGCTTTTTTTTCAAATTATTGTAAATTTTGTTTTAATTTTATATAATTTATTTGATATTTTTTAATAACGTAATTTTTTATTATCAATTTGTAACTATATTGTATTTTTTTATATTTTATTAACTTATTCCATTTTCCAATTTTCATATTTCATTCATCCAACCATTATATGCTTTGTATCATTCAAATTTAAATGAAATAAAATTCCCATTTTTCTTCCAATTTGTTATTCACTTTGAGTCTTTGTCTCTTTGACTTCTTATTTAGTTAAGTATTTTTTCATTTATTTGTTAGATTTCTTATTTTTTCAAATAGTTCCCAAAGGCCAAAGGAAAGTTAAATATTTTAGTTTCACTTATCAAAGAAATAAAAAAAAATCAAAAAAACAAAAAAAAAAAAGTTTGGCCCGGTTTGGCCCATGCCCAAGGCCCGGCCTGTGGCCCAGCCCGGCACGATGCGACCCGTTTTACACCTCTAGCTATGATGAGTGATTCCCATGCCCTAGAGTGATTCTAGGCACCCTGTGAGTGATTCCAGGTATTTTTTCTCTTCTTTCTCTCTCTATTTTCTCACTTATTCCTTCAAGAAGTTGTTACAGCCATTAACAGCCATAAAACTCTGATCAAGAAGACCATTCAACATTCTCTAAGGACTAAAACTGAGCTGGTCCTACATCAAGGAGGCTTTGGTTGAGTGTATTACAGCCAAGGTAGCACACTGCATTAAATTATTGGATGCTTTCTCTCCTTTCTGTTTGATGATATAATGAGGAAGTGGGGAGAATGGCTGCATCCTCTTCCAAGAAGAAGGTGACCCAAAGATCATGGACACCACCAGAAAAAGACTTCATCAAGTTTAATTTTGATGGGAGCAGTTTGGAAACCTGGGGCCTTCGGGGGTGGAAGGAGTCTTTTAAGTATGCAGTTGGCAAGAGACTTAAATGAAGGGGAATATCTAAGGTGGTGATAGGGTGGTTAAAGAATGATAAAAAAGCAGTATGGGCCTACAGTAATGAACTTAAGAAGTTTAAGTGGCTGACCATGAATATTCAGGTGAAAATTCAATGGGTAAATATAGGTTAATTATATTGGGCTAAGTTGTAATGTAAGAAGTCATTTTGGCAAGGGGTACGGTCATGTATCCTTCCAAAGGGGCACATGTAACTTAGGTACATTTCTGTTGATATTTTAGTGCAAATTTCAGTTAACAAAAAAAGAAAAATGTATCACAGAGTTAAGGAAGTAACAACTTCTTTCACATCTAGCATAATTGTCCCTCTTTTCCCATAACAATGTAGAACAATTTGACGATCTAAAAATGCTTACAAATTAGCATTTTCTATTTTGCACTTACCTGATCTATCAGCCTACTAACATTATAGCCCCCGCTAATCATAAAATCAACAGTAGCATCTTCCCACCAAGGCAACAGGCAATGTAAACGGCCCACCTAGATGAAATAAGAGAGTAGACAATATCATTATATATGAATATACATTTGCAATTTCAAACAAGAGTATGCAAATAGATTGATGAAGTCCAATATAGCATTGTTTGTTTTCTAATTGTACCAACAGAAATATCCACAACCAATGGAAATTATCAAAATAGGCAATACTCACATTTGTCTGGTCTAAGATGGTGTCAAATGATATCTTTTTAAAGGCCAAAAGATTTGCATACAACCGCAATGGCATGCTCTTCAATACAGATACCTGGTCCAAAAGACTTCAAGTTATTAAAGAATTCAATAATGTTAAATAACAAAGAAAGAAGTCGTAGAATTAAAGATCGGGAGTTTTGCCTTGTTGGGTGCTGTAGAAGATTTATGTTCCATATGCAAGGTAGGTATGGAAGAAATCTCTATTGTGAAGAAACGATGCCAAATTTCCAACTCCTCTTTATTTATTTATTTATTTATTTATTTATTTATTTTTTAATTGCTGTGCCTATTCCATCTATCTCATCTACTAATAGAGAGTTAAACTGTTCAAAATTTTTCTTCACTTTTATTTAATTCTATGAAGGACTATCAAGATCTTAGAACTATTTACTGTGAACGCAGGTGCAAACTGCAAAGTGGTCATGAAAGAACTAACAGGACTGAGGAAAGATTGGATAGAAGCAATCTCAACTTCGCTCGTAGAATCAATGATGACTTTGACAGTTTGTCTACACTCTACAGGCAGTCCTAGCACGATGGAACATTTGCTCTTTAAAGACAATGATGATATTCAGGAAAATATAAGAACAATTTTCTCCACAGCAGAGCATAAAATATTGTTCTTCTCAAACCTGTTTCTGAATCATTTTGCAGCCTTAGGTGACTCCTCCATCATGTTTTTGGTAATCTTTTAGGGTTCTTGCAAAGGCAAGGAGCGTTAAAGCAAACTTAATACTATTATTGCTACTTTCATTATCATCTTCATCAAATTTTCACCCAAAAGCACATAAAATTAATAGAAGTGAGTCAAATTAGAAACAAGCATTGAATGATTAACACCAAAGCAACAAACTTCTTGTTGCATCTATTATGGAAAAGAAAATTTACCCCAGCATAGGCTACTGTTCTAGGTAATTTTGCAAGGTTTCCTGTGCCTTCTGCATACACACCTGCATCAATCAAAATCAATTTTTGTACCTGCAAAGTGCAAAATTACATTACCTATCAAAAAGTACAAAATTACTTCTCCATATTTTATAAAACACAAATACTGCTAATGTACATACCATATATATATAGACACACACACACACACACACATACACACAAAAATGACTAATACCAACTTCTGTTTCTAATTATGCATGATATTTTCAAGGTGTAGGAACTAGTATCCAGGCCAACCCAACCATGCTGAAATTTGGAATGAGTTCATATAGCTCATGGAAATCAAATCCAATACATTCAAATTGAGTGAATATTATTTGGATCTAACACTCTTGGACTCTCATCACCTTAGATTAACTCTGCCAAGTGGAGTAACATAATATCACTTAAATTACTTAAGTGGCATTCGGTAGCACTTAACTGACCACTGAACTCTGAATTTTTACCTTTCAGTGGTTAGGTACTTAGGTGGTCATTTGGTAAAACATCCAAACACACCTCTGGAAATTCCACTTGAATTTTCAGAGGTTGACTGACCTCCAAGTAAGTTTTTTTTTTATCAGTAAACATATATTTTATTAATTGGATATATTGTCCAATGATAATTCCAAATATCCATATAAAATAAATATAACGATGTTATAATATTATATTATATAAAATTATATTTACATCATATAATACATAACATCTTTTATATGCTATAATACAAAAAACATTATATGTTCTATAATATAATTTTTATTATATTAAATAGAATAATCATAATATATATTATAGTATAGTATAATATAATATAATACTATAGAAATATGTATTCAATTGTACAAAAATATATAATTATAATATAATACAGATTGGATATTCAAAAGGGTAAAATTAAAATAAACATTTCTGAAAGGGTACAATATTCAAATTACCAAACAGCTTCAGTGCATTCAAAAATCTGGAAAAGAAGAAAAACAAATTTTCACAGACCAGAGCTCTGAATTGTTCTTGAAACTTTTTTGTTTTTCAAATATCATGATTCAGATTTATTAATGTCAAGTTCGATATTATGGTTCACGTTTCTATAAAGCCCAAGCGCATGACATGGGACCTAAGATTGCAGATTTTAAGTCCAAGGATCTTCATTAGATAATTTATCAAAAGTCAAATCCTAGGCCAGAAAATATAATTTAACAATGAGTACCCTAAAGTTGAATTTTCCCCAATATAAGGGTTCAAGCAAAAAAAGAAAGAAAAAAGGCAAATGGGACACAAAGGGTAGTTTAACTTCTCTGAAAATGGATGCATGGAGCACGCTCATGAATTCAGAGGGCAAGAAAAATAAAAAGAAAAAAGAAAAACTTACAGATTCAGGATGATTGACAGCAATGTCAATTGCAACAGCAGCACCAAGGCTTGGCCCAACTAGTATCATGGGCTTTTTGATGTAGGACCTCCAAAGCTATTGCACGCAGATGGAATGTAAAAAAGAGAAATAAAAATGGTGCTTAGAGCAATGAAAAGTTATAGATAAAAGAAAATAAAGAACTTCCAAACAGTGACATCATCTAGTTGATTGAATGCCATGTCTATACCTGCCCAACCAATACCGCTCAAACAAAATCTACTCAGTTCTTTGCTAGATACATCCAAGAGGACTCCAATTGATTGGACAGGAAGAAGAAGCATACTAAACTGGAGGCATTGCAGTATTCTACATTTCTGTTCAATGTTGTAGTAAAGCTTTGCTTATAAAAATGTTGTACTAAAACTTCTAAGTTCTAACCATCAACTATAGGCAGTTACTAGGAACTGGTAGTAACTAGTAACTTGCCAACTGCACAGAACATGTACAGGACTCTGTAATCAGCATAGTAACCAGCAGAATGATGTAATAGAAAAAGGAAGAGAAGAAAATCTGATAGGCATTGCTTCTTTTAGCAGGTATAATAGAGAGGACATCCCATGTAGTTAGCACTAAACAGAATGGAATGGTGAAACAGGATTCATATAGCCAACCCCATAGAGGTTCCTTTTTTTTGGGTACAAACAAGGGCTAGAAACTCCTTGGGGTAGTGAGACCCCAGAGACCCTCAAGTCTAATTCTTTCCAGTTCCTTCAGAATAATTGTGAGCTGCTATCTCCGATAAGCCACAATAACAAGGAAGTCAGCAAGCTGATTTGCCTCTCTGTAAACATGGTGGAACTTGAAATAAGCCTCTCCTCCTTGCATCAGAGATAAGGCTTAGATGACGATGATGATGATGAAGGGACATACCATGTGGGAATCAACCGTTTGTTATTCTCCACTAATTTTTAAACTAACGCTACTCAGGATTTAGAAATTGGAATAAGTTTTCTGTGTTATTGCAATTCAATAAGCAGGTACAAGAAGCTTGAAGCAAACATACCTGATACAGGTGGTCACGTTTGGAAGTCACATCACATGATGGAAGCCTTTCTAATGCAAGTGCAGACAAATGGAAAATCATATTACATGATTCAAAGGTACGGAGAGATAATAAATAACTTGTTGCAATTCAATAAGAACGAGGACAGGTCTAACAGAAAAACCTAGATCAGAGAATCCCCAGCCAAGAATGTCCACGGCCCAAGTTTCCAACCCAGCCTCCTCCAGCAAAGGGTATGTGTATCTCCATTCTAAACAAGAGCTGAAATAAGATGGATTGAAATACATAAGTTCAGTCAGCAATAGCTTACGCATACAATACAGCCTAATCACAACGGACGCATAATACAGGCCTGTCAAAGCCATGGAGGAGAACCACCGGATTTGTCTCGCTCTGCAACAGTGGCCTCACACAACTACTCATAATACTGCTTTCCGAAAAGCTAACCTGCAATGCCCGCAGAGACCCCTTATTAGTCCCAAAAAAGTATTAAGAACAAGAAACCCATAAACCTTCAAGATTTGAAGAGCAGAATTAGAAACTTCTATTCCCAAGAAATGAAAACATGACTGAAGCTTTTCCATCGACATATCATTATGAATTCTATACTCAGAGTTGAGATTGGCTGTGCATCAATGAGAAGCAAGAATCAAAGCAAACTAGTTCCTGTTTCAGTGACTTGTATCTGGATATCCTTATAAATCAAGTACTATACGAAATAAGTTTGTTCAACAGTACATGAACAACAACAGAACCGATCAAAAAGCATATGAACAATAGCTCAAATAAACTAGTATGTAGACGACCATTCGTATTGCTTATACAGAGTCTCGTGAGTTCTTCCATCACTGAGTTGGATGAATTTTCCTGTCAAAAGCGCTGGATAACCCATGTCAAATTTGAGCATTGGGCTAGAGGCTAGAGCAAAAGCAGTTCGGTCCGGGTCGGGTTTAAAGCTCGACCCAGTTTGACTAATAAGTAATCGGGTTTCGCGCAGGCATGGTGTCGCAGACGGGGCGGGGCTGAGTTATTCCGGTTTGACCAATAAGTGAGCACGAGCTAACCCGATGAAACTTCTCTTGTTCTATGTTCTTCCAATTATCCAAGTTCCAGCCAAGAATAGGGACGAGATTTGGTTATAGAACGTGGATTAACATTGGCCGGTAAAGGGAACTACAGGAAAGTAGATAAACTAAAGAAGAAGAAGAAGAAACCCACCTGGACAGGCAGCCTCTCAATCCTCTTGGCCAGTTTTCGAGCAAATGGGTCTTTGATTTTCTCGACCTGTCTCGGGAGAAACGATGGAAATCCATCTGCCAGAACCCTGAAACGCCTTAAGTTTCCGGACTTGGTCCACGCTGCCGTTGGCGCAGAACCCACAGTGAGGGCCATCATTTCTCACGTCCGGCACAAATTGGCACCGACCACCGAGGCTCTGCGCTCCCAACCACGAGCAACCGACACTAACAGAAAAAAATTACGCCATTAATATAGATTGCTCGGAGTATTACGACTACGTGGGCTGTGACATTGAGCTCCGCCCATTGCAAAGAATGTAATCCTTCGGTAATATCTATTACGACCCAAGATTCCAATTTAGAGGTCTACGTAGACATTCTGCAATCCCAAGTGTGTACAGTGTATCGATCCCTAAACAAATAACTAGCGGAGGGGGCATGCGTTGTAGTGGCGGGCTCATAAACTATTAGGCTCGAACTCGATTTAAATTACAGATTTGAGTTCGAGTTCGAGCCAAAAACTCAGAAGTTCGAGCTCGGCTACCTTTGATTGTAAGTCTCTCAAGCAGCCGAGGTCTCCCTCAATTGTCAAGGTGTCAAATTGAGGTCTTCCTCATCTGTTGAAGTGTCGAACTGAGGTTTCCTTGGCAAGCAAAGTGTCGAGCTAAGGTCTCCCTTAGTTGATAAGGTGCCGAGTTGAGGTCTCCCTCAGTTATCGAGGTGTTGAGTCGAAATCTCCCTCAGTGACCGAGGTGCCGAACCAAGGTCTCCCTTAGTGGTTGAGGTGTCGTCTAGCTCGAGTTCGATTTGAATTAGAGACTTGAGCTTGAGCTTTGAAGTTTGATCTTGGCTCAGCTCGAACTCGACTATCTTTGTTTGCAGGTCCCCTATCAGTCGAGATGCCGAGCTAAAGTCTCCCTCAATTGGAGAGAGAGTAGTATTCTTGTAATTTATAAGGGGAGAGAGAGAGAGATGGCATTCTTGTAACTTGCAAGAAAGAGAGAGAGATGGTAGGAGAGAGAGTGGCATTCTTATAATTTGAAAGAAAAAAAAAAGCAAGAGAGAGATAGAGAGAGAGTTGGTAGGAGAGAGTGAGATTCTTGTAATTTGAAAGAAAAAAAAAGCAAAAGAGAGAGTTGGTAGAGAGTGGCATTCTTGTAATTTCTATGAAAAAAAGGCAAAAAATATTGTTAGATTCCATTTTCCTCATCCTTAGGCCTTCTTATGTACACATTTCAGCTTAATATATTTATATAGATTTCAAGATGACATCTTAGAGTTAAGGAGTTCTAGTCGTCTACAGTTCAACTCGGAATATTGAATCGATCGTGATACATAAGACATGTTAAATGAACTTGGATTTAGCCTATACCGTCCTTACAACCACTTAGAGTTGTGCATTACGAATATCTCACTGTGAACAAAAACTCCCAATACATCATTGCAATTGGTTGTGAGTAGGGGTGAGCAAATGGGTAATTTCTTAGCGAAACTGAAAAGAACCAACCTTAAATTGGCATTCAACATACCATATCCAATCTATTATAGGGTAAGGGTTTGGTTTCAAATTTTTGGAATCGACCCCACTTAAGTCGGTTCATGGTCTAAGTGTTTATTCTACCCAAATTAATTTGATAAATCGGTCTTGGTTGTTCTTGGTGAAACCTATGTTGGAACCGAATTTGTCTTGAAATAAATCCCAAAATGCTTATGGGGTGTGAAGATTTAAACCCAAGTGCTCATGGTTACAAAAGCCATGGTCTCACTTGACCATTGAGTTACATAAGTGATTTGTTCAATTATTTTCACTTTAAGTCTTCAATATTTGAATATGTACAATAAGTAATGTAAAAGATAATTGTTCGGGTGGTGCCTTAACTGGTCGAAAACTGTCACGTGTTGGCTTTCATGGCCAACGTCTTCAGACTATGTCAACACACGTCTTCGCAGCCACATCATAGAAAGGCAACACCAAGAAGCAGAGTCACACATGAACAAGGAGACATGCCTCCGGCAGGAAAGCAGGACCTCCCGAGAATCTCAGTGGGTACCCTCATCCCAACAACCCCATGGACATCATCCGACTACAACACAGATACTCGGCTATTTAAAGGAATCTCCCCCTTGAGGTAAAGGACTTTGGCTCCTCATCATTTTGCTCTCATACCCATTCCTCATTCAGACTAGCTCATCCCAACCGCTTTCAATCCCTTGTTACTGAGTTGAGCATCAGAGTGCCTTCATGGGGAACAACTCCCCATGCCTTTGATCCTCTCAGTGGTTGCAAATTACTTCAATGTACGGCTTCCTCCTTCCACCTCGACTTTGTCCAATTGGTAAGGATTTATCTGATTGCGTCTCGGATTTGGTATACCTTGAATCAGACAACATCAATAATATTTACAAAATTTAAATTTAAATTTAAATTATAAGTTTTCAACCATATAATGATAATCTACATATTAAGTTACCCAAATTAATATATAGAATGACACCCTGCACAATGACCAAATGAAAAGCGAAGAAACTCACTCACATGCTCGGTACTGCCTCATCTAGGGTCAGCTTTACCGTAACCGCACACCCTGCCATACTTTAGGTGTTTCCCTCCGACCAAAGTTGACTATGTCCCCAAGGAAATACACAAAGGCATCTACGGTGACCACCTAGTGCCCAAACCTTGGCTTATAAAGCCCTCTGGTAATGCTACTTTTGGTCAACCATGAAGCAGGACACGCCCTAGCTCAACTAGAAGTGTGATTACTGCCAGAGACACTCCAACATGCTCCATTAGCCAGCGGTTCCACTAACACCAATTCCTAGCCCGTGGCCCTTCATCCAATGGGGCATGGACATCCTCGAATCCTTCCCCACTGCCATCGGTCAATAGAAGTTCCTCCTTGTCATCGTAGATTACTTCACCAAGTGGGTCGAGGCCAAGCCCCTAGCCTACATGACCACTCAAAATGCTCAGGGCTTCCTGTGCAGGAACATCACCTGCTACTTCGACACTCCTCGAGTGTTCATCACCAACAATGGCTCGCAGTTCATTGATAAGAAGTTTAAATCCTTCTATGACAAACTTGGAATAGATCATTACACAACGTCGGTACACCGACCTCAAAGCAATAGATAGACTGAAGTCACCAAACGCACTTTGTTGCATGGCCTAAAGGCGAGGCTTGGTAACGCCAAGGGCAGGTGGGTAGAAGAGTTGTTGAGCATTCCCTGGGCTTACCAAACCACACTGAGAACAACCACCAAAGATACCCCATTCAATCTGGCATTCAGAGCTGAGGTATGTGGTCCCTATGAAAATCAGATCCCCCACACTTCGAACCAAGCTCTACAATGAAGAAACGAACAATGAGGATCTAGGGGCTGAGCTCGATCTCCTGGAAGAGGTCCAAGACCGAACACACGTCAGTATGGTAGCATATCAGCAAAAGATGGCCAAGTACTATGATGCCAAGGTCCATAGAAGAGAGGTTAAGATAGGAGACCTCGTCCTTCGCAAGGTCATCGTACTCAAACCCGGTGAATGCAATATTAGACCCAACTAGGATAGGTCGTACAAAGTTATTAGAGTACTTGGATCGAGCTCATATAAATTGGAAGACCTCAATGACAGGCCGACACCGAGGAGCTAGAACATGGGTAATCTCAGAGTGTACTATTAGTAATTGGCACCGAACACAATGGCAGTCGAGCCTTTAGTACTTTACATTCAGAATAATAGAAAAAAGGCAATTTCATTTCACTAAGTTGAGCAAGCATCACATAATTGCACACACGCACAAGGACTCGGCCAAGGACCACACACACATGACAATCTTGCCGGATGATAACGGTCAAGGTCCAATGTCAGCTTAAACTGACACCCAGGTGGGAATGACGCCACTGCCATGCATGGTCGAAGGACGGCAACAGATTCTGCCCCTGGAGTCAACAACCACCCAGCAAGCCGAAGGTGCCCGAGACCCATATGACCCTTTATCAGAGTATAGTCGGCAAAGAGCCACGACTAACCCGGGCAAGGAGCAAAGACTCCCCAGGAACAGGACGACAACTCGAAGCACCTCAGCCAGCATGACCCATAGTGATCTAACGAATATTTACTTTAAGTAATCATGTGTATTTTGTCCTCAGCCAGTCGAGGACCATAGGCGTCCCTTGCCCGATGGGGACAACAACAAAAATAATAATAGAAAATAAAACAAACACTAGAATGGAATCAAGAAAAAAAGGGTGATCTTCATTCATTTCCAAAAAATGTGAATAGGGCAAGAGTTTGGCATCCCGAGTTGTACATCAAAGAAGCAAAAAATAAAACAAAAAAATGTGGTCATCACTCCTCATCGGTGGCATGGGTCTGCTCCTCAAATACAGTCATGGCATCGATAGGTTGGGCAAATTACTCCCCAGTTATCTCATCAGGGTCACATAGACCGAACTTCTCCACCACGGGAGCCATGTCTAAGCACAAGTGTAACACCCTCCTCTTACACTGAGTAAACCCAGTCTGCTAGGAGTCAATGGCATAGTTGTCGATCTCAATCTAGAAGACCCCGGATGCCTTGTACTCAGTGACCACCTCCTCCTTTGTCCAAGCTAGGTTCGCCTTAGCCTCATCCATCGCCTTCCTAGCCTTGTCCCGTCTGTCCTTTAGATCGTGCACCTGACTCTTCAGCTTCTTAGGCCGTCATCTTTGTTCACCATGGCCTTCTTCAGTTTGGTTACTTTAGCCTTCAATTCGGTCAACCAACATCATCACGGCACAGACAACCTGCAATGCACCGAGGTCAGCATGCAACACAAAAAAGAAAGAAAGTGACAAAACGATGAAGAAAATTACCTGCCACAGTAACATGGGTGGTTGCACGCCCAAGAACCATGCTTGTGTGACCGCAAGCCTTCCTCCGAATCTCCAATAGTAGGATACCCCAGGCCAATTGCTCAGGAACAACTTCAGTTTCTAGAGTGTCCCCCGAGCAGATAGTCCAGTTATGTCGATGGATCTTGGCCTCTTCCTCCACTTGAGCAGGTGGGACATGCCTCTTAAGACTCCCCTAAGGAGTTAACTACTACCAAACGAGCTAGGGAGGTGCCTCATCCGAGGAGTCGTCTCGCTAGAGCGATGTTGCTATTGGGCCGCACCCAAAGACTGAGTTGTTGACCTCCTTTGGGTGGCAACTTGCATGTGCCTCACACTCTCCTCCTCGTTGCCAGCCGTGAAAGGTGTTAATCATCTGAGGCCAAATAGAAAATAGAACTTACATAGTCGGGACAAACCAGTTAGGGGCTTCATTAGCCCAACATGGACCAACATAGCGGACAAGGTGTACTCTTGAACATGCATCCTTACTATCCATCGTATGGTTGCCAACTCTTTGCTAGACGGTTCGACCTTAGCTAGA